CCGTGTTCTGCTGAGCAGTTTATCGCTTTTTTTCCGTTTTTGGGGTTTTTTTTCTTGTTGTTTTTGTGGGATTTTTTTGCTTTTTGGGTTTTTTTTTATTTTTTTTGTTTTTTGGGTTTTTTTTTTTTTTGTTTGTTTGTTTGGTTGGTTTTTTTTTTGTTTGTTTTGTTTTGAACTACCAAACACACCCTAAGGCAGATTCACTGCACCATCACAGTTGTTATAATTATCTTTTATCAAGAGTTTACACGGTGCTTGCAATTAGTTTAATTTATTTAAATTTAATTTATATGAAACTGTGTTCTTAATTTCTGTGTTGGCTAAGTTTTAAGACTAGTTTTAAACAAGAGTAACATTACTTTAAGTAAAGACTACTGATTTTAGCTCAGGTTGGAATCTAAATACATCAAACCCAACTGTTCTGCTACCTTATAAGACTTTAAAGGCTTTTCAGCTTGAATGAGTAGTTTATTTAACACAGTGATTTGATTTTCACATATGAAAAAATTATAGTGACATTTAAAAAAGTCTCTGTCTTCTTGCAGAACTTGAAAAATGGCTGCACAACACTGACAGATTTGCTCCTTTTGTATTAAAAAGCAACAGTCATGGATTACACTCTCAGGCATCCTGGGCAAGAGGAAATACCTGCAAATATTCTTTAATCAAGATAAATGCTTTCTCGTGGTTGTGAAAAGCCAAGAAGCATTTACTTTCAACTCAAGCATTTTCAAAAGAGATCAGCCGTATCCAGACCGATTCAGCACCCCTGCTTCAGCTGTGAATCTTTCTTTTGCCTGCAGTTCTGGGTGATATTTTGCCTCCCCTGGGTGATGTCGTGACCATCCTGCTGGTTGGTTCTCACTGTGAGGGAACTAATGTAGCCTGAGAAACTGCTCTGTGCCTTCCACCTATGCTGAACTAGATCCTTGCTTTTGCCCAACCTCACCCCCATCTGTCTGGGATGTATGGACCCCAATGTCCCACCTGTTCCAACTCAAGCCACGCACCCCAAAATTTCAAGTTCTTTTGAGTAGTGGAGAGAGATTACTACATATCTTTATCCACCATGGAGAAGCAGTAAATCTGGAAGACAATAGCGCTATGCGCCTCAGATGACAAACACAGCAAAAATTTAGAAATTTTAATGATCTACAGTAATTCACTTCTGAGTCCAAATTGTTGAACATTTGTCAAATATTAAGAGTTTCAATTATATCATTCTACTGATAATAAAAGCCTTGCATTTTCCTCACTGTGTTTTGTGTTCAAATAGGTACATTCCTGTACAGGGCCAACATAAGCAATTGAAATAACATGACCACCCAAAAATGGGGAAGAGTGTACCTCCTGCTTTTGGCATGATTCCTCCTTTCAGTACATCATCCAACTTTTTCTTCCTTGCAATCAAATACACCTGCAGCTGAGGAGAGTTACCTCAGTACTCAGGTACTTGTACCTGGCTCCTTCCTGTTCTAGACTACACAAAACCAATGGCATCTGGTCAGTATGTTTGGCTAACTCTAGATTTCCTTGCCACCCTAACCCTCACCATCACCTAGCTCCAAAATCAAGGACATACAAATGCAAAATATTAGGCTGCTTCCAATTATTTAGAAACCTTTCCTTTTAATTCCAGCTTTTTTCCCCTTCATCTGGAAATAAAGAATAACAAGATGCAGGGTTAACCAGCAGAATACAGATGAAAAAACCCAGACAGTCTTTATAATGGTCAAAGCATTCATATTACTGTGGGATGCTAAAAATTCTCACCCATTCAGTATCTCCTTAGACACAACTGAATTAATGAAGACAAAATGAGAAAAAGAGCACAGAAAGCTACTACAACAGCACAGTTTTGGGTTTGGTTTTTTTTGTTTGTTTTTTTTTTTTCTTCCTTCCTTCCCTCAAGAAGCACTACGTTTTTTGATATCTCTACTGGAGTTATCATGGCAAGAAAATTTTGCAGAGAGGAATGTTCTGCTGGACACTGGCCGAGGCTACTTTCAGCTCAGTCAGTAGAAGGAGGCAAGGATATCTTCTCACTTCAGCGCTCCCCCTCCTCCCTCACTT